ATGCACAACATCGGGAGCAATTTGGGGTTCAGGATCTAGCTCAAGGATACTTCGACATGTGGCAGGAGGAGCCGGGGATCGAACCACCAACCTTCCGATTAGTAGACAACCCGCTCTGCCTCTGAGCCACAGCCGCCCCCTATATCCCAATATGACCTATGATAATGTTCAACCAGCTGATCACACAGAAATCATTGTCAGTACTTCCTAGCTGTATATAACAATAATTCCTAATGATATAATTAATCAAATGAATGCGACCCACACCTAAGATTAGGACCAGAAAATGGATAACCAATGGTCATGGTATACATGGTATATAACAAAATTACTAACTTTACAAAAGAATAGTTACAGTGTAAAACCTTATATGAAGTATAACTTCTTTTGTGCACAGTTGCATTCAGGAACATTACCATTAGCCCCAGAGACTGGTAAATTTAATGCTACTGCCAGTTGTGCGTTTTAGATGAAACCCAGAATAAGGTTCACTTTTTTTGCTGTCCTCTCTACGAGAACATAAGGGATGCACTTTTTAATAAGATTTCCTCCATTTATGATAATTTCTTTTGGCTTGATGATGAAAACGTCTGTAGGTTGAACAGCCTCCTGCAGAACAATCTACTGTCACAGCACTCACACTGTCAGTTTATAGGTCTCCTGACAGCCTGCAATCACGTCCAGAAACACTGAACTAACATTAGTCTACTGTAGGCAGGAGAAATTATTTAAGACTCAAGACTCTATACCTTGCAAGGCCTTTTCATGAGGAAACTCAATTCAGTGCTTTTAAAGTCTTCTCAATTTCAATTCAGTTCAGTTCAATTCATTCAATTTCAGGTTTTATTTGGTATACCGCCGAATTCATAACAAAAGTCTATCTCAGGATACTTTTCAAATAGAGCCACGGTCTTTAGGCGCACTAACGCCGAAAGTTAGCGCTGATAAATTACACAAGATCTAACAAATTGCCCCTCTTTGGCTACTTTCAAAATGCAACAGGTGCATAAGTGTCGCCCAAGAACAAGACAACAGAAGTGAGACAACAGAGACTTTGGGACTCTGGGAATAAGACTCAGTTATCACCAACTTCAAGCCACCAACCCAAAGCATTATGCTATCTTTCTTTACTCTGATTGACTTCTGTCTTCAGAATTCTGCCATATAAACACTGTACTGAACACTGAAAGGCTCATTCAGTTGACCATGAGAGTGGACCTGTGCTAAGATGGAGGAAAGAGCTGATACTTACTGTGGTGTTATGGGTTGTGGGGGCGGACAGGTCACGACATTCGCCCAATAGCATGGAAGCTGCAAAAATCACCACTGTTGTCACCAAGGAAACCAGCAGACTCTCTAGAACTCTGGAAAAGTACAGCAATCGGATTAACTGATATTTTTAACTGACAGACAGAATGATTTGTATGAAGATGGACTTTTCCCTGTGTGAACAGGTGACGTAGCAATCACCTGATAAACTTGGCCTTGGGGTGAATGTGTCTTATGCGATACTTGGCCAGGCCCTTGTTCATGCAGTTGAAGAGCGCCCCCAGCAGGCCACCCACCACCCCCATCAGGACAAAAAAAGCCAGGTCCACTGCTGTCCAAAGGTGACAGTTCTTATCTCCATCAGGACACTGATGAGAAAGTTTTTGCAATAGGGTTAAACTCATACATTACTGTGCTGATATGTTATATCAGACTGAGAATTAATAATAATAAGAAGACTGAATAATAATTAGAATACATTTTGTTCATACAGTACTTTTTTAAGATACTCAAAGTCAGTCAAAACTTGTTAAATAAAAGATTCTAGAGAACTAACGAACAAAAAAAAGCATTTGGGGAATGAGAACAGGCTGTGAAGGCCGGTAAATGGTAAATGGACTGTATTTGTGAAGCGCCTTTCTAGTTTTCCAACCACGCAAAGCGCTTTTACACTATATTCGCCACATTCGCACTTTTACACACAGTCACACAGTGATGGCAAAGCCCATCGAACAGAAACTCATTTATACACATTAACACACCGATTGGCAACGGGAGCAATTTGGGGTTCAGTATCTTCAAGGATACTTCGAACCAACAACCTTCCAATTGGTGGACTACCTGTTCTACCTCTGAGCCACAGTCTCCCTAGAAACTAAAGTGACTGCAAAACTTGTCACAAAAACGACAAAGGCCTGTGTCTGTCAGTTCTGGGCTACTATAGAAAAATGGCCGTTCAACATGGCGGCCTCCATGGAAGAGGACCCACTTCTTCTGTCGATAAAAAAGGGCTCATTCTAAAGGAAATTCCTATATTCAGATGATTATACACTAATGAAAACATTCCCATGAATATGTTCAGTTTCTGCGAATAGACCCTCCTCCATCCTCCTGAATGTTACACACTGGACCTTTAAGTCAAACATTAAAATCAGTTCTAGAAAAAGGTGAGTTCGGAGTAATTGCTTGAACATAGACCAGACAGTGAACCCAGGTCCACTGTTTGGTCCTCAATTGGCGAACAGAAGGTTGGCGTCTAGAGGAAAGGAGGCTGCAGGAAGGAGTGTGGTGGTGGAAAAGGTGAGTGATGTAAGAAGGTTCCTGGTTATGGAGGGCTTTGGGAGTGAGGAGAAGGAGTTTGGAGTTTGGAATGGTTCTTTAGGGCAGTAGTGGTGTGGTCACGAGAGTGGGAGTGAGTGAGCATGTGAGCAGCAGAGTTCTGGATGTAATCGAGTTCTGTTAGGGACTTTGGATGATGTACGATACAGAATAATATTGCAGTAGTCGAGTCTGGATGTGATTAAGGACGGACATTTAAGCAGCAGAAAATGCAGATGGGATGAGACAAGGTATATTTTTCAAGTGCAGAAAGACTGAGATTAGCAAGAGAGATTGCTTTTGAAAATGACTTGAGGTTGCGGATGTGTTGGAACAGAGACCGAGGGGAGGAGGAGGTGCTGTTGATGCTGATGAACTCTTATCTGTCTATGAGATTTAATTTAAGCCAGGAGAGGGCAGTACCAGTGATGATGAGAGATATTATACTTGTATAATGATTAAGAATAAATAAAAACAAAAAATACATTTAAACACGTATTTTGTGCCAAATGAAGAAACAACTTCAGTAATAGACTTTTTACCTTGAACTCTCCAAAGTTGAGCAGACCAGGGAGCTGGAAGGAGCCCCACTTGTTGAAGTTGATACCCGAGCGGAAAAAGTTGAGAGTGAAGGTGGCTGACATGGAACAGAAGAGCTGGATAGGGAGAACAGTTAATCATACTACTTGATGGTTAGTAGCTATGTGCTTGTAACTGTATAATAAAGCTTTCTCTCTGACAGACATATTTTGAATAACATTAGTTTGTGTGTCTTGATTGCAGCAAAGAAGTCAGACTAGGCGAGCCACACCAGCACTTAGCCACACCAGCACTTAGCACCCCCTTAATAGGGCCCCCACCAGGTGATTTGGATGTTCACAGGCTCAACACCGGGAGTTACACATTAGCTAGCTCCATGCAGGTAGATGAAAACAACCATGATGATGAAGATGGAGGTTGGAATATGTCGAGTTTGTCATGTTCAAACGTGTTAAGAGTGTTTGGACATTTCATACAGAGTACAGTGGATTCATGTAATTTTTGCTGGCTTGGATATAAACTGACAGCTGCTGGATGAAAACATTGTTGGTAAGTTGATTCATGTTCATTATTTGCAATGGCAGACTGTCAGATGCTGGCCTTTTTGACTATCTAATCCAAAATTCTTTGTTGCCGCTTGTGTTGTTGACTGCTGGGTCTCCTGGTTTTTGTATTAATAGCAGGACACACATTGCTTGCAGACTTGTAGCCCAATTTGTTGTCCTGTTTGGGTTGATTGTGTAGGCTATATGACTATGTGGCTATATGAGCATCCAGCATCACTGAATGTCAAATGCTGAATGCCTGTTTAGTCGATTTTTTTTATCCTTTATCTGATCTTTAGAAGTTGTAATTCTTGAACATCAGCAGGTCTCTATTTAATGATAGAGCTATGACATTGTCCATGGTAGTGAAATAGCACACCTAATTGTAATTTCTCTCCATTTCGCCCTCCCAGGTTGTCTATACGGCTTTTATAGGGTATAGGTTTTTTACGGGTGCTCACACGCTCTGCAATAAGACATCGGCTCCACGGCTGCAGCCTCTTACTTTATTTGACTGGCTGTCTGCATGCCAGGCACGCTGTACCATGGAAAACAATGATTTCGAAGGGGACATGTTTCTAGCAATGCATTTCTGTGCGATTGGCCCCTGAGGCTTGCTCAACTGTTATTGGTAAAAAGGGGACTTAGGAAGGATCAACTGTGTTTAGTGAAAAGAGCTTCTGGGTCAGTGAAGTGAAAGTCAGTAGCATTCATCTTTTGGGGAAATGACATGTCTATACAAAAATGCATGGCCAATCCAATAATTGTTGACATATTTCAGTCTGGACCAAAGTGATGGTTATTATTAGGGACCGAGCACTGACCAGTGCAAGGACCCTATTGTTCCTGT